TAATGTGAAATATAGGGCTTGTTTTTCAAATAAATCAGTTTCATTTGAGGGACCACTGTGAGCTCAGTGTTGTGGGAATGTAATGTTAAAGAAATGTAAGAAAATTAAAGGTCAAGTTTTTAATATATGATACCTTTATATTCATCTAAAAATGTTACTAAATTATAACATTAAAGAAATAACTTTCTTTTTAATACCTATATAAAGAAGATACGTATTCAGGATTAACTGCATGGCTATAAATGAAATCTCTATTTGAAACCCAAGCATGCTTTCTCCTAACATTTTAGTATTGTGTTTATTTCATGACAGTGTATTATATTAGTCTCACACCTCCATATTACATATGGAGATTCTGATGGACATTAAAATTCTGGTGAACATGCAAAGATGGCACTGTAAAAGCACATATTCTTTTGTTCAGTTTTTACAGGTAGCATTGATTACTTAACTGCCAGTTTAGCTTTTAGGATCTATCTGCTGGATATCTATTGTACTCTGCACAGAACCTGACACATAGTATAGACAACAAACAACCAACCATGAACATCTATGACCTTCAGCTTTTCACTCTTGGGTTCACGAGTTTTCTATAGTAAAACTGAATTACACACATTTTTAGGAAACTCTAGCCTTAGACCATTTTTCCTTCTATGTTAATTGACTCTTCCATCTGAGGATGTGACTTCTGTAAGTAGTGTTCACTGAATGGAACTGTTTTTTCAATTTTCTTAAATAAAAGATATCTGTTATCTTTTTATTTTTTTTCTTTATGGCAAAGCTTTCTATGCAAGTTTTCATAAAAAAGAAAATGAGGCAACTTGAGGAACAGAACTTTTATATTACATTAATAATATTTCCATCTTAAAGATGTCCCAAGAGAGAAATAAAGATGGTCTGCTTAAAGATGAGGAGATAGGCTACCCAGAATTAATTACCCACCTATCTACTTTGGAATCTCAAATGACCACCCACTGTTTCCACCCCCAGAGAGCTACATCACTCTTTAAGAAGCTCTTGCATAATATAATTAACTTTCTAGGAAGTATCAACATTGATTAAAGAACAATATTATCAGATGGTTTAAAAGACTGGTGTGCAATGGAAAGCAACTATTTGGAGATTGCCAGCCAAAAAAGGAAAGTTTTATTTTATCTCTGCATTCCCACTGCCCTAAAGTCTGTGGTATTTTTGCAGACTCTATCTTCTGCCTTCCTTACTTCTAAACTGAATTGCATCCAAATGGTCTGTCATGCCATGGAAGGCCTATGACAAACTTCTTAAACTGACTGCAATAATAAATAACTAGGTTCCTTCACCATGCTGTCACTGAGTCCATGGGTCTAATTAGGCTAAGAAACACCTTTAATTAGCATAGGCTAATAGAATCAACTTATGACTCAGGAATCTGATTAGTACTGGTGTAAGTACTAATGTAAGTCACATTTACTCTTCTTCATGCTTGATCATTACAGTGCTCATCAGATGTTCTTCAAATGTAGTTTTTAAAAATGTTGTGGGTTTATTTTTACTATAATCACAAAATTCTTTCAAAGATAAGATCAATAGAGGGTATTCTATGTGGAAATATAACAGACTAGCTGTACAGGCAGAATGTTATTAAAGAAACCCATCTTAGGTACATCTTTTAATTGTTTTTTTTTTCCCTAAATTTTGTGTGAAAGTTAGTTCATTTGCAATCTTTTCAAGTATTTAAAGGATCCCAATAAAGATATTTTAATGTCTTTAGACAGAATTTACCAAAAGTATTCTGAGTTGTACACACACACACACACACACATACACACAGACAGTCATCTCTTGGTATCTGTGGGGTATAGGTTCCACCAGGACTCCCTCAGACACCAAAATCTGCAGATGCTTAAGTCCCTCACATAAAATTGCAGAATATTTTAAAATTACCTATAAAATCCTCTCATATACTTTTGATTATCTCTAGATTTCTTATGCTATTAATCTAATATAAAGGCTATATAAGTAGTTTTACTACTCTATTTTTTAGGGAATAATGATAAGAAAAATGTATACATTAAGTTCAAATTTTTTCAAATATTTTTGATCTGTGGTTGTTCGAATATGTGGATATGGAGAGTTGCCTATATACCTTTATCTGTCTATCCAAATGTCTATAAAATCTCTTTATACATGTATTATGCACATGTGTTTCATGTATAAAATGCATATATATTACATACAATAGATTGTACAATGTATACATATGTTATAAATTGGCTTCATGAACCTTTGGGGGATTTATGAGTGGGCCTTTGGAAAAATCTCTGAATTCCTTCAAGCAATATAGATAACTGTATTTTTGTATCTGTGTATTTTGTTGTGAGAAAATAATACATAACCTCACTGATTCTCAAAATGGCCTGTTATCACTCATTCAATGCCATTAAAAAAAATCAAACACCCATGGCATAGAGCTTTATTATACAATATTATAGCCACTAGCCATTTGAAATGTGGCAGATGTGCACTGAGATGTGCTGTACGTGTAACATACACACTGGATTTTGAAGAATTAATGTGAAAAAGAGAATTTAAACTATCTCAATGGTTTGCACATTGACTGCAAGTTAAAATAACATCTGGAGTACAGTGGATTAACTAAATATTAAATATATTAACTAAACATAAAATATATTATTACCACTGATTTCACCTCTGCTTCTTTTTGCTTTTGTTAACTTGGCTACTAGAAAATTTAAAATTTCATGTGTAGTTCATACTATATTTGTATTGATTAGAACTGACTTAGGAAAAGTTAAACCTCAGTCACAGGTGTGTTGCTGATTCTAGGAGTTTTCTACCAGAAAACAGTATTTTATAATAGCTCCTAAACTGGATTCTAAGAGAAGTCTTAGCAAAACTGTCAGACTGTGTCTAAACATAAAAGTGTTAAAGGAATAGGTTTAAACCATTTTCATCCAAGCAGCCCAGCATAATTTATTTCAGAGAATCATGAGTTTGGAAGAAGTTTGATGCCAACTCAGAACACCTACCATCCATATTTGCAGATAATTTACCTGGTACATTTCGATGAAAATCTTAGGACAATAAATATTGACTCAATACAAACTTGCCCCTAATACATCAATAAAATGCTTCCTTTGAAATGCACATGAAATATAATAGAAAATATTCATGAAGAAATACCTCAAGAGAAATTTGAGTTCTCTGTCAGTAAAAGTTTAAGTATATGACATCTTGATTTATTAATCTGGTTAGGCATCAACCCTTATGTAGTGCATATCATTCCTCTCCTCCAGATGCGGAAACAGGATAAAAAAGTTAAATCATTACCATGCAAGAACAACTCTGTGTTGTTCTCCACTGTGTATTTGGAGGCTAATACCTTGCCTGTCACAGAAGAGAAGCTCATAAAATGCTCATTGCCTGAAAAGTAACATCCTTTGAGTTCCAATAGGAGCTTTTTGGCTTCAAAGAATGCATGGTAAACTACATCTTTGCTTCTCCCAATACACATGCTGAGAGGGAAGTATCCTAATATGTTGGAATTCTCACCATAAATTAGTGGAACATAAATATTTTGTGGCTCTCCCTGTCAACAAAACGTGTGTGCGCGCGCACGCGCACGCGTGTGGATTTGGAAAGCAATTTAAGGTTAAAATTTGCTTCCAGGTTTCAAAACATTACAAGTGCCAGCTTGACTGGCTATCACACTTAATCTGTAAGGTAGACACATTCAATGCACTACACAAATGGAACATATTTGTCACTCACCAAGGTAAGTAAGTACAGAGCAGCAATCCCTGGATCTCTCCTCCCCTCCTCTCATCAATCTTGATATCACTTGCTTCTATGTCTCGGTGTTTTGGGTGTTCTTCTGTCCTCCCGCCCCCCACCCCGCCTCTCTATGCGATTGAGATTGCACTGTCAACACAACTTTTCTTTACAAATATTGTGTCTTACTTAAGGATCGAAAACAACCCTAGGTTCTCTAGCGATCTGCCTCAGAGTTCATCCAGGAATGCGCCTCCAGGGGCGGGATTCCTCCAGCAGTAACTCCTGTTCCCTTCAACTTGTGAGCTCTAAACTGAGCTTGGGGCATCTGCTCGCACCGACTCTCTCACGGCTGCGCTCCTGCTCGCATACCACAGGAGGGTGAGCCTCCAGCCTCTCCCCGAACCTAACCCAAAGGTCTGAGACCAGGTTGCACTCGATCCGCACCCCTTCCCACCCAAACTTCGGATAATATTTCGTTGGCAAGCTCACAAGAGCTAAGTAAAGTAAGCACTCTCCCTTCCCTGTCCAGCCCAGGCACGGCCGCTTCTATTTACCGTCTTGTACCACCAGCTTGCGAATGCCATGGCGACAACCTATTCTTTCCGAGCGGCACCACGGATTACCCAGCGAGCGCTCGGGGTGCGGTGCTGGGGGCTTCCGGATCACACTCAGCCTGGCTGGAACCTGGCTGGCACCTGACTGGCACTGAGCTCGGCGGGCCTAGCAGCTGCCAGGTGGGAGTATCCCCGAGGGAGGGGTGTTGGGTACCGCCCCCACCAGTCTAGCCCCACCCCCTACTTGGCTTCGGGCTAGTTAGGGAAGAGGTGTTATTTCTTCAGGAGCCACGCCCTGCGACCGGGACTTCACGGGGAAGACAGGGTCCTGCCTTCAGATGAAACCACCACACTCCCTTTGGAGGGTCCTGAGTGAATTTTATTGTCCCTTCACTCCGTTATCATTTCACCAGTGTCTCATAAGCCAACTTTTTTCTGCGCGCCCCTCTACCGGGCCGGCGCCACGCCCAACTGACCCTGGCCAGGAATGTCCAGCCACCGTTCTCCACCAGTCCCGGGGAAGGCACTGGAACCCCGAGCCCTTTCCCTGCAGTAGAAGGGGCGTATAAGGAGCAGATCGGGCAGGCCTGGCAACGCCCAAGGCGAACCAGGATTCCCGGACCAGGTCCCTGCGTCGCCCAGCCCTAATGCTGGAACAGGAGCGCCACTCACCTCCTGGGTGTGGCGGGCTGCCGCGGCGCGCCGAGGCCTCGGAGAGGCAGCGGGCTTCTGGCGCGGCTGGGACATGGCGAGGCCGCTGCAGGCGCAGCCTCCGGGAAGGCTCAGCAGGGACTGAAGGGAGGCTCGGGGCGGGCAGCGAACTCTGGTAAGGAGGGGGAGGAGGGAGCGGAGGGGCCGGCGAGTGTGCCCGTGAGGCAGCTTTTCCGACCCAGCCCCAAGCCCGCGCCCGGGCTCCCCCTCGCCCTGCTGGGCCCTCCCCTTCCTGCTCGCTAAAGGCGCGCCCCAGTTGTAGTTGTCCCGGGCTCCTGGCCTGACATTTAATACCCTCCACCCAGAATCGTCACTTAGTGATCCTCCCTGTGTTCTTAGATTGCTTGGTTCCCCGTGGGTCAGAAAGAGGGGGAGCCGGAGGTTGCAGTGTTCCTCCTTTGACTTGCCCAGACGTCTCGTGCAGTTGTGCAACAGGAGAACCGGACCCGGGCGTAGCCAGTCTGCTCCTCGACCCTCCTCCCTAACAATCTTGAAAGTTTGGCACTTTTTCTGCAATCTGTCCCGGTTATCTGTGTTTACGAATCTGGCCCAAGTCTGGACTGTCTAGATAAGGAAGCAGATCACAAAAATAAATTGTTCTGCATGCGTAGATGTGTGCACACATCTGTGTATGTGTTAGGTCCTTTCACTTTGTATTGGCAGTTTTCGAAGTTTAATAATGTTGTATGGACAGGCTGTAGGTTGTAATCCAGATCCAAGAACCGTCCCAGATTTAAACCCTTACATCCTGTCTGGAATCTAGTGTGGTTTGGGTGCGCTTTTTTTTTTTTTTTTTTTTTTTCATCTGAGGCTGGATTGCTTTTGTCTTGGACTCATCTTAAACAGCACTTCCTGGTTTGGGGTTGGGGCTGAGAGTTTTTAACACGCCCAAATGCTCCTCTTTGGTTGATGCTGGTTCGTGATCATAACTGACCGAAAAAACCTGTTGCCCGGAAATAGCATTGTCGTTTTGGGACTTGGGTCACCACTCTCTGAGGTGTTTTTCAGACAACTGAAGAGACAGGAGCCAGGTTGTAGGGAAAGATTTGACATCTACAGAGCTTGGCAGATCACAATTCTGGTATGAGGTGGCCCCTCAGTTTTAGGAATTCTGATTTCCCTTTCCTAGAGGATAGGTTTGTAGCTTTCTTAGTGTAGGAATGTAACCCATGGGGTTGTGGGGAGGGGGGCACATTTTCTTTTTAATTGTTCTACTACTTTGTATCTAGCATTTCAACAGACTTCAATGCAGGGATATATACATAAAAATGAAGCATCCTGGATATACAGACTGTAATTGTCATAATTGTCCATTTAGGAAAAATTGGTAATATCTATTACATTTGGATTTGGAGGAAATATGGCTTTAACCTGAAAAGAATATCTTTATTGTTGTGACAAAGGTATTGCAGTAATTTAAACAAACACAGAAACTATAGGGGTAAATTGGTAGCTAACTCTTCCTCCCCAGCCTCCACCTCAGAAACCTGAACAATTTTCTTATTAGGGAGATATTCCAGATTCAAGATTTTAGATCCCTGAAGTATGTTATTCTAACTCTGGAAGAATGGTTCTCATTACTTTGATGACATTAAAATGTGAAGTATTTTCAACTGAGTATTTAAGAACTGAAGCTAGTTCATTTAATATTTTTTGAGAGGCTTTTATATAAAGCAGTGTAAAAGGAACAGTAGAGGGAGAGATAGAAAGATTTAAAATACACATTCTCTGCCCTTCAGAGACTTATATGTTAGCTGAAGTCATATGGCATCTGTAACATATGATTTGGGGTGACATTGAAAAACATGCTATGTGAATAAGTACAAATATGCTTCAGGAGTTTATGGACATTATCAATTACAGGATGGAAAGGAAGGTTTGAGCAGGGTGGCTGACTGGTAGGATGTGAAAAGTAGGGGAAGAGGGAGGGGCACTTCAAGAGACAAGGTGCAGTCCATTCACTGGATGGAGCAGAGGATCTATGTTCAGGAGTAACTAATCCATTTAGCAGCCCATTATTTACTGAGCAGCTACACTAAGCTACAAAATATATTAGATATCAAAATCTATAAGACATAATGACCCCAGCCTTCAGGATTTGCTTAAAAGTCACAATTACATAAACAGTACTTGCTAAATAGTGTGTTAATGACTTTAAGAAGAATCTCAAAGAAGTTGAAGAAGCATCTTCACTTTCCCTATAGTCAGTGAGGTATTATAGAACTTTGAAATAATGGAGAAGCTCCCCCCTTTCTTTATCCCTCTCTCCTCTTTCCTCTCTTCTTTCTTCCCTCTCTCTCCCTCTCCCTCTCCCTCTCTCTCTCTCTCTCTCTCCACACACACACACACACAAACACACGCGCACACACACACACACACACATGGATTTTGACACATTATTGTCTGCACATTTTATGAACACTATTCCTTTATTTACTCAGTAACAGTTTATTGCTACTACAAGGATGTACCAGAGGCTTCCTATACTCAAGAATTAATAGTTCAGCTAGAGAGACAAACAAGTAAATCTGCAGTCACTGTTGCCTGCTCATGGAATAAGCGCAAATGTAGGCAGAGGTATTACTATCAGAGTGCTCTGTGACCTCTCACTTAGACAGAGAGGTACACTGGAAGAGGGTGTTTCAAGAACCACTCCCTTTCCCCATGTTTGATCTGAATGAGTTGAAATCCTCTGCTAGTATTCTTCACATCTTACCTAGTTTTCATCCCCACTGCTGCTGTACTTGTTCAGAAACTTACTACTTCTTATCAAGAAATGTGTAAAATGAGAACAGGAGCAACAGAATAGAGTTCAGAAAAGGAGGAGCAAGTAATGTCTGAGGAGTTTCAGGGGAAGGAAGGAAGCCTGAGACAAGAGAGTGCCATAGGCCAAGGAAAAAGGGCATTCTAAAAGGAAGGAATTTGTCCACAATATAGGCCATATAAACATAAAACATGTAACTCAAAGGTTGAGTCAGACAGCATAGGAAGAGTATACAGGTGAGAGTTTCTTGGTAACTCAGTGGGTAAAATTGAGAAGGAAGCAGAGGAATTATACAAGGTACCCAGAATTTAGGCAGTGCCTTTCATTTGGGTATTTGGTATTTATCACACTATCACACATCGCTGGAAGAGAATCTCCCTAGAAAACCTAAATCTCCTGAAAATCTCCAATCTGATTGAAACTTATCTGTTCTATTTTTTACCTCCTTTCAGCTGACTTTGCTTCCGTTTCTAGTCATTTCTTCCTGAATAAATCAGAAAAAAAGAAAAGTCTAAAATAAGCAAAGACTAATTAGCAAAATAGGCAAAACTTTCCAAGCCTTTTCCCCCACATAACATACATGTATCTGAATAGGAGCTTCATGCTCCTGACTGTTGAGTTAACCCAAAGGATGGCTTTAGTGGTGAAATTTTGTGTGGAGTAGAAGGTATGTCAGTCGGTTGGAGAATTATGACTAGGCCACAGAGGCCTTTCAGTGCTTCTTAGATTACAGTAGGCTTGCTCATGGTTGCACATGTGATCAGGGGTTAGAAAAAAATTGAGATGGAAGGAATGAAGGGACAAAGCAAGAAGGGGAGAGAATAAATAGTGTATGAAATAGTTTTAAGTTGCTACTACCAAGCAAGAATTTGAGCCACACACATACCTGTAACCAAGTCCTCAGGATCTATTGCTTGTAATTTCTGTCCCACTTCCCTCTAGTAAAATGCCTGCAAAACATCTTTACACCCTGTCCTTTGGCTTGGCAAAACTTCCTGCTTCTTGTCTTTGTGGGCCAAAGAGGACTGAGATCCTATCTCCTTTTCAGGAGTGCTCTTGGGACTGACACCCTTGGAAGGAAGTAAGAGATGAGCAAGGGGAGAAGCTGAGTTGAAATGCACATGATGAGATGCCTCAGACAACCTTATAGTGGGGAATTATGATGAGATGGCCCTTTAGATTTGTCTGGAATGGGGGTCAGGGAGAGAAGGCTGCACCTTTATATGCCTGTACCACCAGTCAACGGACATGGTTTGGGCAGAAGGAGAATGGTCTTAGGGGAGGAAGCTGGATCTCTGAAGCTAGGACATCCTCTGAGCGGGACTGACAGATGAGGTTTGTCTGCTGGTATCACCTCCAGGTGCTTTGGCAAGGTCTCTGTTATTTCTGTGGATCACGGTGGCTCAGTCGTGTATAACACCATAAAACTTTGCAAATACAATGGAGGGGATAAACGTTGCAAAAGCATACTGTCAAATTACTGTATAGCAGGACATTAAGATTGAAATTATTACTTTTTAAAATTAAATTTTCTCTTTTACAATGATATTGGCCTTCTAGAGGAAGCACAGATGAATATTTTGATTTGGAAAGCAATTGTGCTGTAAATACTGCTATCTAGAAATAAGGAAACAATAACTTTACAACTGTGGATTGCTAAGAATGGTTCAAAAGAAAAGATAAATGTGATTTTCATTTTTCTAGTTTTGTCTAGTTATATTAAAACAAAATAAAGACTGCCCCTACAGGTCTGGCAACAGGCAAGGAGATATAAGATGCCTTCTGCTTGCTAGGAAGTCATTGGAACCTCACCACCACCCCACCTCTGTCTTCTGCTTTCTTTGTTAATGTCTTGAGGTTTACAACTTTCCATCTTCTGGAGTCTGGGGTTCTGAATAGAGCTCCAGCCTGGAGTCAGTACCTTCTGCTAGGCCAACAAATAACTAGTGCTATGTGAATCATCCCTCTTCATTGTATGTAGTTCTGAATGGTTCTCATGCCAACAGGATGAGGTTTAGATCCCTTACTGTGGCCTCCCAGAGCTGCAGGATCTGACCTGGGAATCCTGATCTGCAGTCTGGTGCCTTCCTGCTGCTATGTTCCAGCTATGGCTACCTACTTCAAACCCTGGAACTCACCTGGCACTCCCTTTGCTCACTAGTCTTTTCCTGGAATACTTTTCCCTTTCATTGCCAATACCTCATCTTCTAAGTCTGAGGGAAAATAAAACCAACTCTTTCACATCTCAGTTCTCCATTCCTGTAGTGCCCACAGTACCCTGCAGGTTTTAGTGTATTTGTCAATTAGATCCAGTCCAGATTCCATTGGCACATGTCGTACAAGATCAGACACTGAAGGTGATTTGTTCAGATTGATAGAGCACAGTGCCATGGTAAAGATAGCCTTCTTAAAAAGACGTTTTTTTTATTTATTTATT